CCATTCGGAGTGGGGCTGTAAGTCTTTAGCCCCAAGCCTGTCGGAACAGCCAGGTTTAAGGGCGATGCGGAAGGCCTGGAGGGTGGTGAGGGTTCGAATCTCCACGGGGAGTTCGTTCCAGAGGGTCGGAGCAGCCACAGAGAAGGCTCTCCTCCGGGTAGTCGCCAGTCGACACTGGCCGGCTGATGGAATTCGGAGGCCTAGTCTGTGGGATCTAATCGGTCTGGTGGAGGTAATTGGCAGCAGGCGGTCTCTCAAGTCTCTCAAAACATCTTTGTTTTATATCATGGTGACCAAAATCCTGGTCTCAATATGTCCCCCTAGTCCTTCTTTTCTCTAGACTGGCCATACCCAATTCTTGCAACCGTTCTTCATATGGTTTTAGTCTCCAGGCCTTTAATCATCCTTGATACTCTGTGCTTTTCTCAAAGCTTCAACCATTTGTTTTTGTAACGTGGGGACCCAACCTGGATGCAGGATTCCAGATTGTGGGTCTTACTTAAGGCTTTATAAAGCCTTAAAAGTAAGGCTTAAGCCTTAAGGAACCTTTAAGGTGCCAAAAAAGCCAACACAGTCCAGGGTTTCATTAACAAAGGGATAGAATCAAGGTCACATGAAATGTAAACATTTTATAAAGCCTTGGAAAGGCCATACTTGGAATTCTGCATCCAGTTTTGGTCGCCAGGATGTAAAAAAAAATGTGGAGACTCTAGAAAGAGTGCAGACAAGGGCAGGACAAGCAGCAATGGGTGGAAACTAATCAAGGAGAGAAGCAACTTACAGTAGTGTCCAAAATTGTGGAAACCTTTTGGGAAAAGTGTATTTTTGAGGTTTGATGGCTAATAATACCATTGGGGGGGATAGTACCATAAAAGTATATATCAATGGAAATATAATTTAATCAAGAATGTAATGCAACAAAGTTTGTTCAGTTGTCGTTATCTTATGAAACGTTATAACCAGCAATAAAACCCAGTTAATAGAAGCAATCATTCAATCTTCGTTTCACATTGTAACAGCTGCAGAACTAAAAGACTTGGTTCACTCCATGAGAAGATTTGTTAACTGACATGGTGATAATTTTTGTTTACCTCGTTGTTGTTTTTTGTATGTGTTTCACTTTTCTTCTTTGTAACTGCTATTCTAATAGCAAATCCTTCATAAAAGTTATTGCATTACATTCTTGATTAAATTATCTTTCCATTGATACATAATTTTATGGTACTACTAAAAAATGGAGTTATTGGCCATCACATCTCAAAAACACTGTACACTTTTCCCAAAAGGTTTGCAAAATTTTGGCCACTACTGTAGAACTAAGGAGAAATTTCCTGACATAACAATTAATCAGTGGAACAACTTCCCTCCAGAAGTTGTGAATGCTCCAACACTGGAAGTTTTTAAGAAGAGATTGGATAACTATTTGTCTGAAGTGGTGTAGGGTTTCCTGCCTAAGCAGGGGGTTGGACTAGAGGACCTCCAAGGTCCCTTCCAACGCTGATTCTGATTCTGTAAGGGTCGCCTGCTGGAACAGAGGGTTGGACTAGATGACCTCCAAAGACCCTTCCAACCCTTGTCATTCGGTTTCCTAAAGCCCTGTCCTGTGCTGATCCGGATTCCCCCCACCCCACCCCCGTTTTTTTCCGTTTTATGGCTGCCCCCGATCGCAACCCAAGGGCACCTTGGCCGCTGCAAGCCCGGCTTACCTCCAGCACGACGCGTCCCAGCGGCTGGTTGTCTGCACCCACTTCCAGGAAGACCAGCGGATTCTGCGAGCCGCTTCGGCCGCTGCCGCTGCTGCTGCAAGCCCGGCAGCCGGGGCCGGGGCTGCGGGCGCCTTCGGAGGCGGCAGCAGGGCTTCCCCGCAGCAGTTCCCGGCCGGCAGCGCCCAGGCGGCCCAGTGGCGGAGGTTGCGCCCAGAGGAGCGGCAAGCGGCTGGCCGAGCGCAGCGCCAGCATCTCGGAGGCAGCAGGAAGAGAAGACGGAGGAGAAGGAGCCGAGCAGGAGACTCAGGAGGAAGCAGCCGGCCCCACACGCGGACTGACGGCAACTGACGAGGCTGGAACCCCGACGCCCTTATAAGCGCTTCCTGCCTGCAGGCCTGCTGACCTGCCTCCGCAGCGCCCCGCCGGGGAAGGAAGGGGAGGCGAAGGCTTGAGTTTTGCAAGCGGGAGTTTGAGAGGAAGGAGAAGGACGGAGGGAGGGAGGAGAGGAAGAGGAAGGCAGCGAAAAGGAAGAGAAAGGGGAGGGAAGGAGGGGGAGGGATGAAGGAAGGAAGGAAGGGGAAAGGAAGAGAAAGGGGAGGGGAAAAGGAGAAAAGGAGGAGGGAACGAAGGAAGGAGAGAAGAAGGAAGGAGAAAAGAAAGAGGAAGGGAAAAGGGAAATGGAGGAAAGAAGGAAGGGGAGAAGAAGGAAGGGGAAAGGAAGGGGAGGGAGGAAGATGAGAAGGAGGGAAGGAAAGGGAATAGAAAGAAAATGGAAGGAAAGGAGGGGGAGAGATTAAGAAAGAAAAAGAAAGAAAGAAAGAAGAAAGAAAGAAAGGGAAGGAAGGAAGGAAAAGATGGAAGAGGAGGAGAAGGGAAGGGAGAAAAAGGAGAGAAAGGAAAGAAAGACTGAAAGAAAGACAGAAAAAGGGGGATGGAGGGAGAAAGGAAGGAAAAGATTGGAGAGAAGGGGAAGGGAGGGGAGAAGAAAAAGAGAGAAAGAAAGAAAAGTGGGAGGGAGCAAAGGAGAAATATTTCCAACTCTTTTCGAAGCTCACTTTGTAAATCAATGTCCATATTGAAAGCCATGCTGATTAGCCCTGAAGTCAGTTCACTTACACAACACATGGTTTCTATAAAGATCATTCAGCTGCTTCCACCATGGGAAATGTAAGTGTATGTGTGTGTTAGAGAGAGAGAGAGAGAGAGAGAATACACACACACACAAACACACACACAAACACACACACAACCTCAAATGTTTAGGTTTTTGGCATGAAAGATTCTTGGATGTATTTATATTATTTTATTTAAGAAAATCATAGGGCCATCTGAATTGAACAAATGTATCCACACCAGAAAACAATAAGCTTAAGAACTGTAACAAACGTTAATCAACAGTTGGAACCTGTTAAATGTAAAACCCTACCTTCTTTCTAAATTATTCTGTATCTGAACCATACGTTCCTTTCATCATTGCAGAAGTCTTTTTTAAAAATCTCAACATAATGATACAAATGGGGAATATCTATTCCAAACCATTGGCATATTCTAAGGAAAAATTGGCACACAAACACACAGCATCAACCCTTCCCTAGGAAGACAATCCACAATGACACTCAGATGTGTCCGGTGAATCACATTAGTGGCTTGCTACCAGCTTTGTATATTGTCCCTGCGATGGTTGTGTGACACTATGAATTGTTTGAATAGTTCTCCTCAAATATTTGGGCGAGGTGGGGGCTTTTTCACTGTCAGGTTCACAGACCGAATTGAAGGGTCAAATTTGTATCCAAGAGGCCGGTGTGGGAGAAAGAAATGGTGGAAACTGGGGACGGAGTCAAGAGAGGGACCAACCTAGAATCTCTACATAGTCACAAGTGAATTAAGTCCAACCTCCCTTGAATTCCCTTGAATCTTCTCTAACTCCAAGCAGGGTCTGAACATTAGTTGAGAAGATTCTGTCCACCTGCTATTTAGCAGTATATCAGTTTATTTAAACATTCACACACGGTTGGTCGTGGTCTTTCACATCAGACAGCCTGTCCCCTCAAGGTCATTAGTCTAGAGCCATGATGGCGAACCTATGGCACGTGTGCCACAGGTGGCATACGGAGCCCTCTTTGTGGACACATTGAGCCGTCGGCTCAGCTCCATGTGTGCGGGTCCTGCCGTCCAACTGGTTTTCTGGTCTCTGCCGTGCATGCGTGGGGGATGCGCACATGCAAGATATGTGTAGGCATGCATGAGGATCATGCACTCATGCGTGGGGGGCGGGGGAACCGGGGTGTATGGCACCACCTCCTGTGGCCCGTTTGTGGTCCAAGGAGGCTTCAGGGAGGCCTGCTAGGCTCAAAATTGGGCATGGGGTGCAGCATGGGCCCCCACTCCCGTGCCCTGTTTTTGGTCCCAGGAGGCTTCAGGGAGGCCTGCTACGCCCAAAATGGGAGGGGGGGTGTTGCGCCGTGTGTGTGTTGTGCACGCATTGCATTATGGGTATGGGCATGTGACGACAAAAAGGTGAGCCATCAGTGATCCAGAGGTTAGTGAGGAATGGCCTTGCCACTGTAGTGAGTGTCATCGTTGGGTACTTGAGAGACCGCCTACTGCCAATTACCTCCACTAGACCGATACGATNAAAGGTTTTGTATGCTCTGGTTAGTAGTACAGTATTACCGGAGAAGCTACACAAGATTAGGTTAACAACTCTTAATGCCTTTTTGGCAATGTTATTACAGTGAGCTCTGGTACTTAGATCATTTCTCAATCTTGGCCATCTTTAAAAAAAAGACATTTTCATTCCAAAATCCATTTAATCACCTGGGATCATAACTCAACACCTTTTTCTGCCTTTGTGCAGGAAACAGAAACAGCTTCTACATTTTTTTAAATGAAGAACCTTGTAAAAATTCCTCCTTTTACACACAGCACTTAACCTCTTTCACAACCTAACCCCTTCAGGGGTGTTTAAAAATAAGTCACAAAGTGATATCTCGAATTTCAACTAAAGCCGCAGAAATGCCCAGATCAGACAAACTAAATTACTGCTGAAGGGCCAAAGAAATTTCACAGCTCAACATTTTACAGCTTTCATTTTCCTGTTTGTCTAATAACTCTTCTTCCCAATGATTTTGAGAATCTGTCAGCTTGTTATACGGGGCCTCGGTTATCGTATTGTGGTTATTTGAACTCCGTTCTTCATTTTGTTCACAGAAAGTTTCATTTTCTTTTTTTTCTTGTGAAATTGCTGTCCAAAATGACGGGTGCGAGTTGGGACAGGAATATAATAAATATTCTAAACCAGTTTAACATTCTTGCTCAGCTTAATATCATGTGACATTTTCTGGATGGTTATTCACGGCCATTTGTATGTGTCACTGGGTCAGCTTATGATGACATAAGGCACAACGCACATGGCTCATGGGTGTGATACTGCAAGTATTTACATGTGAATACATTACATCATAATGATTCAGGGAAAGAACATTCCGGAAATTGCCTTACACACAAAGTGTGGCAAACGTTAAGATGCATCTCATGCCACTGAATGTGTGTGTGTGGGGGGGGGGGGATTCCAAGAATATTTTAAAATGTCTAAGAATAATCCTGACATATCATGTGGGACTTACCGGCAGGTAACTAAATGAGATATTTAAAATCTTCCCTCTCAGATGGGGTGTGAAACTCATTTCATTGAGGGCTGGATCAGCATTGTGATTGTCTTCCGGAGACCCGGGGGGGGGGGAGGGGCATGGCCAGGGTGGTTGCGACTGACTGGGCTTGGCCTGGGGGTGTGGCCAGCTTTACATCACTCATATGGGTGGTGCCTGTGGGGGCAGGGCAGGTGGAATTGGGGAGGGAATCCAGGGGTCCCCAGTGAGTGGGACGGTGGGCAGGAGGCTCATCCCACAGGATGGCATGGGCCAGGCCAAAGCAATGCAGGCCAGCTCCTTAGTTTCCAGGATGGTCACCCAGGCCAGACCGGACCATATCGCGGGCAGGATTTGGCCCCTGGGCCTTGAGTTTGACACCTGGTCTGACATCCTGACATCCTGGTTTACAGGATGAAAGGGATAAGGAATTGAGGATCCTTTTAAAAAAAAAACCAGATTTCAAAAATTTTGAACATTTCAAATGGGGTTTTCATGCTTCCTTCGAATCAGTTGAATAAGAAATGCATTTATTTTGAAGAATTAATTTTATTTTGCTGGCTACGGCCAACCCAACCTTCTTACAGGCCCGCTAATCAATCTCTCTCTGAAAGCCCAAAGAGATACAAGTCAAGGGACACAGGAGGGAGATGTGACAAGTGACAGAGTCAGCATTGCATCACTGACGGGCACGTTCTGCTTGTTTTGCTCATGCATCCATCGCATGCACATAAAAAGGGGGCAGAGCCAGCATTGCAACCCCACAACATTGCATTTATTCCCGCAAACAAGAGAATGTAGTAAAGGGACAGATCTGGACCAGATGACAGACTACGATTAGAAAGGCAAGGGAGAAAGATAAAAATCACAATCTGTTCCTGAGGATCTCAAATATCTTTGAAGTTTGTTACCTTGGGGGTGGGTGGGTGGGTCCCAAAGGTTCTTTTTTTAAAAGGCAACTGAACTTCCTTGGTTTTCCTTGAAGATTGAATGGGGGAGATGGGTTGAGACTGAATTCTCCGCCATTCTGTCAGAACTGAAGAAGCTTCTTGGATGAGAAGCGAAACATCTTCAAGGAAAACCAACCAAGGAAGTCTGGTTATTTTTTAGAAAATGACCTTTGGGACAACCATGACCTAGATAACTGAGAATCTCCTTAAATAACCAATCCCAAAAGCAAGAAATAGACAAGAACAGTTGGAAAAGATCAATGGAATTCTGAAAGACCTTTGAAGTATTCTTCAGTATAGGGCTGAAAATTAATCTGGAAAAGAAAATATCACTAAAGAAGTGCTTTATTTGCAGATGATGTTGTTCTCTTATTAGAAGACCCAAAATATCTACAAAGAAACATACAGTACAAGAGCTGCACAAAGCAGGAGAACCATTTGGCTTAAAAAATAAATCTGAAAAAGAACCAGGTTATGTTTAATAAATTCACCAAAGAAAGAGAAAGAAAAAATATTATATCTGGACAAGAACTATACATAGTAGACCAGTGCATATAGCTTGGCCAATGGATCTCAGTGGAAGGTAATACAAAAAAGGAAATTGAACGCCATGTTAGAGAACTTAGAATAACTTTATTGTCACTTTGAATGTACTCTAATAAAGTGACATTTCGTTGTATACCAGCTCTCAAAGGGTCACCACCTCCAATATACACTACATAAACATGACAAAATAGTAAATACAAAAT